TCACACAATTTCGAGTTTTCACAATTTCCACAAGTGTTGATATTGCTGTATATCAATACAGAAAAATGTTTTATATTTGTTTTATAATAGCACAAAGAAATACAAAGAAAGAAATTTTCCGTGTTGACATTGAGTTATATGATCACAGCCGTTAGCAAATCAGCGTTCAGAATTTACAAATGCCATTATAACATTGGATATTAATGTGTTAGATTTTAATTCAAAACTTTTAAATATGTGCAGATGTATGTATTAACCCTTCAAATCCCTGCAAAAATGGAGGATTGTGTACAATGGATTCATTTGGAAAAGTTGTATGTATATGTGCAGATGGATTTAAAGGAAAACGATGCAAAATAGCAGGTGCGATATGTTATGTAATTTTGAAAATGCATTTCTAAGAGAGAATTCGTAATTAAAACCTCATGTAGTGGCGAAGCCAGCGGTCATGCAGTGCATGACTAAAAATTTCCCCCAAAATGTTTAAAAATCAGTTCGGTTTAATTGTTTACAATAGAATTATACTTTATCTTAGCAGTTCTACGCTTAAGTATTTTATTTATTATTTTGTTTACCAAAATCTATTAGTCTAGGACCTGTATAGATGTTTGTATGCGTTTCATTTAGCACAGGTAATCTCAACTGTTTTAGGGTAAAATGACCATGGCGGTCAACATGGCATATGTGCCAAAACCTGAATCCGAGGCGAAAGTCCTGAAAATGACTCCGCCCTGAAACGGCAGTGCCGACATAGCTCTAACTTCCAAAAAGCAAAAGCGACAGCCTTCCTGAAGTGCTTATAGTGTTTATAGAAGGGCTGCTTTTAGGGGTGGTCATTGGAAGGAAAAATTTGTCTAAGTATAATATTTTACCAGAAAATGACTATATGCCCCACCCCAGGTAAATTGCTGATTATTCACAAAATAACTAATATGCCTGGCAGAAATTTAATGTTCTTATTTGCTAAAGAAAATTATCATGGGATGAAAAACTATGCTTAATTTAATATAATTATTGTAGTTTTCATAAGGATTGCCATTGTTTTCTTTAAATATAATACATTTTAATTCACCCTGTCCTTCGATATTTCGTCAAATTGCCGCCATTTTAATGGCTCGCCGCTTCTCTACCCGATAAATGCCACTTCTTCGTCTTCCTATGTGTTTAGACTACAGTATCCAAGAGTACTTCATTGTAGAATAGTCCCAATCGAAAAATGAAAACATTTGCCGGGTTTTAATGGCAAAACCCTCCAGGTAATCATTTAGGTTCAAAATAAAATACAAAGCATTTGAAAGTCACGCGCAATCTTCGCGAAAACTTCTCGTGGACACATGACAGGAGGGGGTGAATATTTTCACGAAACGTTTGTTCGCCACCACACTGACCACAGAAACCTAAAATATATTGTATTTATTGTATTTTTATGAATTATGATAAAACTACCCAAATATTTATTGTTTTTATCATAATTCATAAAAATACAATAAATACAACATATTTTAGATTTTTGTGGTGGAGAACAAACATTTCGTGAAAATATTCCATCTCCCTGTCAAGTGTCCACGAGAAATTTTCGCGAAGATTGCGCGTGACTTTCAAATGCTTTGTATTTTATTTTGAACCTAAATGATTACCTGTAGGGTTTTGCCATCAAAACTCGGCAAATGTTTTCATTTTTTCGATTGGGACTATTCTACAACGAAGGACTCTTGAATATACTGTAGTCTAAACACATAGGAAGGCGAAGAAGTGGCATTTATCGGGCAGAGAAACGACGAGCCATTCAAATGGCGGCAATTTGACGAAATATCGAAGGACAAAATATCGAAGATAAAATATACTGCACTGTTTCAAAACTTCATTAAACTTCGTCCAAATCGTCTTTAGCCATCTATCATTATGTAAAAGTATAACAACTGGATGATATCAGCGAGACTCGGCGATAAAAAGCAAACAAGACGGTAAAGTATGGCTGAAATGGTGTTTTCGTGGAGGGTGCATGAGTGAATTAAAATGTATTATATTTAAAGAAAACAATGACAATCTGTATGAAAACTACAATAATTATATTAAATTAAGCATAGTTTTTCATCCCATGAAAATTTTCTTTAGGAAATAAAAACATTAAATTCCTATCAGACATATTAATTATTTTGTGCATAATCAGCAATTTACCTGGGGTGATGCATAGTCATTTTCTGGTAAAATATTATACTTAGACAAGACTTTTTATTTATTTATTTACTTTGCCATCATACTTATACATTCATTTGCTGGGAAACCACAACAGCTATTGCCAATTACAGTGGCCCCAATAGTTATACAGAAACAATTTACAAGGTATACTAAACACACACAACAGACAATACATGAACAACAGTCATTACATTTGTTTAAAAGCAGCATGTCAATGGAGAGTTCATTAAACTTCGAGCGGAATTTCTGTATAACTATTGGGGCCGCTGTAATTGGCAATAGCTGTTGTGGTTTCCCAGCCAATGAATGTATATATATATATACATATCATGTATATATATATATACATATATCAAGAGCCAGCCCCAAAAAATCTTCATTTATAAATATCAAGAAATCATAAAACTTCAAAGTAAATAAATTATATTTTTACGTTTCGGACACAAGCCCCTTCTTCAGAATAACGCTACATCATCTCCGTCTCTTGCTTAAATAGTCTAACGTTTAGCTATGCATAAATTAATTAAACCTCTTCCCTTAAATTAAGCCCACGTGGGACATAACTATTAAGTTTCTCAATCCAAAAACTCTCCCTCTCGGTGGGGTTATTAACGTCCGTGACGTCAATAACCTGCACTAAAAAATCACTTAGACCTGAATGTCCCTCCCCCCAAAAAATGGGCATACAAATGTTGCCCACAAATATTTCTCTGCCCCCGCCCATATCTATTTAATGCACTCTTGTGGTTATTAAATCGCAATCTGAACGGTGTTATGGTGTTCCCCACATATTGCAACCCACAGAATTTACAACTAATCAAATACACTATACCCTCCGAGTCACAATCGAAGCAATAATTAATGCAGAAAGACCGCCCCTCAACATGGTTTTTAAAAGTAGCACCAATAATAACGTTGTCACAGATTTTACATTTCTTCTTTCCGCACTTAAACATCCCTACAACCGTTTCCTCTTCCCTTCTCAATTTAGAACGGAGTTTGTGATCTTTAAGGTTTTTAGACCGACGAAAATACACCATTGGTGGTTCCGGCATAATACTTAAAAACCTTTCAGACCAACTACAATTACTTTGCAATTCCCTAAAGATATTATAAAGGACCCTCAATGCTGGATGATAATCTATCACAAAACAGTTCCTATTACTATTCTTAACACCTTCTTTCCGCATTAACAAATTATTCCTGTCGACTTTTCTCACTCTACCAAACTGGTCATCAACAAAATCCGAATTATAGCCTCTCTTGACCAAAAAAACTTTTAGCTCGCTTAGTTTTTCCTCAAAAGCATTTTCCGAGTTACAAATTCGCTTTAAGCGCAAACCTTGACTATAGGGAATCGCTCTCTTGACATGTGGTGCGTGACAAGATTTAAAATTCAAATACTGATGTGCATCAGTAGGCTTAGAATACACATCAGTATGGAACGCACCATTAACTTTATTAATCCACACATCAAGAAAAGCAATTTCCTGTCGACTAATTTCCCAAGTAAACTCAATATTCTCGTGAAATGAATTCAACTTACTGAGGAAATTGTTTAATTCCTCCTCCCCGTGAAGCCATATCATGAAAACATCGTCCAAAAACTCCACCAAACCCAAGGTTTAAGCTCGCAAAAATCTAAAAAACGTTCCTCGAAATACCCCATAAATAAATTTGCAAAATCTGGCGCAAATTTTGTCCCAATAGCCGTTCCCAATTTTTGTCGAAACATATTTTCATCAAATTCAAAAAAATTATTTTCCAAAACCAATTTGGCAAGTGAGATTAAATCATCGACCGGCAAGTCCTTTTCTGCCTTATTCATTGCTAATCTGAGAACCTCAAGACCTTCGCTGTGTGGTATATGAGGATATAATCCCACTACATCATACAGATTGAGTTAAACTAGCATTTAAGCCATTGTTAGATAAAGGTTATATTTCTAGTAAAAACTTAGAATACCTCGTTGTGCCGGACCACGGTTGGGTAGATTTTATTTATTGCCTAAAATTCACAAGCGGCTTGAAAATGTGCCAGGTAGACCGGTTATATCCAACTGTGGTACGGCTACAGAACGAGTGTCGGAGTTTCTGGATTTTTATATTCAACCATTGGTGGAAGGTGTGCCGTCTGTAATAAAGGATAGTACACATTTTTTGCAACGTTTGGAAGACTTAGGTCATATCTCATCGACTGCGATTTTGTGCACTATGGATGTAGTGGGATTATATCCTCATATACCACACAGCGAAGGTCTTGAGGCTCTCAGATTAGCAATGAATAAGGCAGAAAAGGACATGCCAGTCGATGATTTAATCTCACTTGCCAAATTGGTTTTGGAAAATAATTTTTTTGAATTTGATGAAAATATGTTTCGACAAAAGTTGGGAACGGTTATTGGGACAAAATTTGCGCCAGGTTTTGCAAATTTATTTATGGGGTATTTCGAGGAACGTTTTTTAGATTCTTGCGAGCTTAAACCTTGGGTTTGGTGTAGTTTTTTGGACAATGTTTTCATGATATGGCTTCACGGGGAGGAGGAATTAAACAATTTCCTCAGTAAGTTGAATTCATTTCATGAGAATATTGAGTTTACTTGGGAAATTAGTCGACAGGAAATTGCTTTTCTTGATGTGTGGATTAATAAAGTTAATGGTGCGTTCCATACTGATGTGTATTCTAAGCCTACTGATGCACATCAGTATTTGAATTTTAAATCTTGTCACCCACCACATGTCAAGAGAGCGATTCCCTATAGTCAAGGTTTGCGCTTAAAGCGAATTTGTAACTCGGAAAATGCTTTTGAGGAAAAACTAAGCGAGCTAAAAGGTTATTTGGTCAAGAGGGGCTATAATTCTGATTTTGTTGATGACCAGTTTTTGTAGAGTGAGAAAAGTCGACAGGTATAATTTGTTAATGCGGAAAGAAGGTGTTAAGAATAGTAATAGGAACTGTTTTGTGATAGATTATCATCCAGCATTGAGGGTCCTTTATAATATCTTTAGGGAATTGCAAGTAATTGTAAGTTGGTCTGAAAGGTTTTTAAGTATTATGCCGGAACCACCAATGGTGTGTTTTCGTCGGTCTAAAAACCTTAAACATCACTTAGTCCATTCTAAATTGAGAAGGGAAGAGGAAATGGTTGTAGGGATGTTTAAGTGCGGAAAGAAGAAATGTAAAATCTGTGACAATGTTAATATTGGTGCTACTTTTAAAAGCCATGTTGAGGGGCGGTCTTTCTGCATTAATCATTGCTTCGATTGTGACTCGGAGGGTATAGTGTATTTGATTAGTTGTAAATTCTGTGGGTTGTAATATGTGGGGAATACCATAACACCGTTCAGATTGCGATTTAATAACCACAAGAGTGCATTAAATAGATATGGGCGGGGGCAGAGAAATATTTGTGGGCAACATTTGTATGCCCATTTTTGGGGGGAGGGACATTCAGGTCTAAAAGTGATTTTTTAGTGCAGGTTATTGACGTCACGGACGTTAATAACCCCACTGAGAGGGAGAGCTTTTGGATTGAGAAACTTAATAGTTATGTCCCGCGTGGGCTTAATTTAAGGGAAGAGGTTTAATTAATTAATGCATAGCTAAACGTTAGACTATTTAAGCAAGAGACGGAGATGATGTAGCGTTATTCTGAAGAAGGGGCTTGTCCCCGAAACGTAAAAATATAATTTATTTACTTTGAAGTTTTATGATTTCTTGATATTTATATATATATATATATATATATATATATATATATATATATATATATATATATATATATATATATATATATATATATATATATATATGTATATATATATTCTTGGAATTGAATTTTTACGCGTTTACTACACTTCATTGTTCCCAATTTCTCAGAAATTATGTGTAATTTTGAATTAATATGCTATAGTCACCAATTGCAACACGAAACCTTGCAATGAAGGAAAGTGTAAAGTCGATGATGGAAAAGTGAAATGTTCTTGTGGAAAAAAATATATGGGAGAATATTGCGAAATCAAAGGTAAATGTAAATTGGAAAAAGTATTCACCCCGCGATTCTCGAGTCTGGCGATTTGGATTTTTTACACCACTGGAAAACTATGTTAAATCATTTTATAGTGTTTATCTTGGAAAGGAAGACGTCAGTTTTTTATAATTAATGGGACTTAGAAATTACAAAGTGCATACGTAGCGTTGTAACGAGTTTTAAAGCTTTTGTTTAACACTGTAGTTTTCACGAATTGACGTTCGTATATTTACCTTTTTAAATGTTTTAAAACAACCTTCAACTTGTGAAACAAATTTTAATATTTAATTTTATTACTAATGTTGTTTTTTAAGTAATGGGGACATCCATAGATCTTTTCATTGGATTAACTTCAATCATGTAGTTTTTATTCATTTTCCCGATATGATATGTCATAAAACTGCACGCCATGTGTACCCGCATTAGAAACATGTTTCATGAAGCGCGTCTATACGTCCACGAAGAAAAGCTTGCCCTGCCAGCTGCGTTACATCCCCTTCGGGTAAATTAACTTCAATGTATTCAAATTTCAATTCATGACAGGATTTGTATGAATTTCCATGTTCATACCGGTTCGTTTAATGCAACGTAAAACTATAAAAGCAATTGCACTCATGCAAATAAATTTTATTGATTCAGAAAGGGCTAACTTAGATTTTGATATATAACATATGAATGTCCGTGCATTGTGCAACATTTACTGAGCTATCGATGTTTTAAATCGAATAAGCATGTTTGACAATGTTAATAATTTGCATAAAATTGCCTATCAAATATTCATTTGGATAACTTGATATATAGTTTTGTTGAATGGAAACATAATTGTTGGATAAATATTTATTCATTCATCATGGAAAGTATGTCCTCGTGTGGCTAACGTATACAATGTCTTGCACGGGAAAGCATAAAACCCAAACTCTTTGATATTTTGTTAATCGAGGCCATATGCGAAAGGCGAACTAAGACCAACTTAATTTATATTACGAACTCCCACGCAAAGACGTAAAATATGCTTTCGAACGTTTTTAAATGTTTCATGCTTATTTCGCTTCCTAACTTATACTAGGACATTACCCGAAATTAAAGTTGAATTGAAATGCTAAAATTTAAATTGTTAATTTTTGTGGAAAATGTCAATTGTTTTCATCTCCGGGCGTAAGCCCGGGGCGAGGGTACTAATTCCATCCGGCTATTTACGCCCGGGAAAACGAAAGCGTTAGCGAAGTCCTTAAAGTTCATCAATGATCGCGGGCGTGGCTCACCATGTATGCTTCGGTGGGTGGTCATCCTCAATGATCTCAAAAATATGGCGGACTACTGTAATGAATACCGAACGCTGATTGGTCAAATTTAAAATTTGCATTAAAACGACTGTATGACGACAGCGAAATAGCAAACATTTCTTGTAGTTACTCGTGCTAGGCCTTTGGCCGCAGGACGAGTATTAAATTCGGCATTGTTCTGTTCGTGTTCTTGGATGGACACAAACCGCTGGGTAATTCATGTAAGTCTAACATAATGGCTTCAGTTAAATTTTTACCCAAATTATCCATAAATTACCCTGCATTTGGAGGAAAATACGGGAAAATTGAACAATTTTACAAGGACTTTCGACATGGAAACAGTCCATGGAAACAAAAACCTTCGCAGGTTGCAAGTTTTTGCAAGTTGGGTTTCGGCTGCGTTGCTTTTAGTGCTTTATATTTTGAGAAGAAAGCGACACTGTTCGGTTCAGGGTAAGAAATTGTACTTGATGTCAAGTATGTTACTAAACACCAGTATTCTAGCGTTGATGGCCTTTTGAAAATCAAGCGAAATTGTATTGCTCGCAGTACGTATACATTGGTTGACAAATCACTTGCAGTACGTTTCATAGACTGATAGACATAGTGTATTTGTGTAAATGCCTAATGGCGCAGGGATAAAAATACCACTTCTAAAAATTGTACAAATTTCCGATGTCATATGTATTACCACAGAATAGATATAGGGGTATTACTAAACAACAGTATATTTCTAGCGATTTATCATTTAAGGCTTTTGTCTTTGAAAGCCAAGCGAAATTGATCCTTGATATAAACATTGGTATCATTGGTTTTCAAGAATCTTTTCGGCCGTACACTAGTGGATTCGTCTCACATCTCTCTTCATTTTGATAGTATTTTGAGCCCAAAATTCCCCAAATACTTTATTTTGAGGACCAACTGGCGGCTGACAGTCTTGAAGAATATAGCGTACTAAATATAACCACAGAGTAGATACTGGACAGATGTGTAACTGTATTACGAAACGCTAATGTTTGAGTGTAACCAAAAGCTTAGCCAGTGCGCTAACGAGAGGCATTCACCCCCCCCCCCCGAGTATATCCTCTGTGATATAACTCTACTTGTAGGGCCTACCGCATGTTAGTACTGTGTTAAGCCTTTCGCCAAGGCCAAAACTAGTGGAGGGTGGGGGGTGTCACACCCCCAATATTGTAATATTGTAGTTTAGTCGGGCAAGTTTAACATTTTCAATGATACGCATGTCGGGCAAAAAAAATGTAATTGAGCAAAATATTTTACATAATTTATCAAAAATGTGTTTTGGGCAAATTACCAAATTTCTTTTGTGGGGGGGGGGGGTTGTCGGAAATATTTTTTTTAGCAAAATCCAGAATTACTCAAGTCTTTGTTTACAGATCTAGATGCTATAAAATTGAACATAATGTCATGAGGAAGATATTGATTACAGGGCCGTAGCAACCGGGGGGGGGGAGCTGGCGGGGGGTATGCAGCCCCCCCCCCAATAAATTGGTATAATCATTGTTTTTTCAAAATCATGCAGAAAGTATCATTTGATCTGTGACAAACTGCTAACAATGAAGATATCACCCATACTTTCCTGCAATTTATTCAATATACAGTTAATTACTGAATATTGTCAATTTCGACATATCTGACTATCAGAATTATGTCAAATGTTTCCCAAAAACCAGGAAATGGCATTTCAGAGACTCCAAATTTAAAAATTCCGTCGGGCCTTCGGCCCTCACATTTAGCCCCCCCCCCCCCTTAAAATGAGCTTCCTACGACCCTGATTGAAGAGTGCTGGACTGATCAAATTTAAACTGTTGCCTCTCGAAATTATATATAGCTTACTTGATCTTTTAAAATTGTTGTCAAGTTTCTAATGAATTAAAATGCGCTATAACTGGACTTTCTGATACAAATATCATTCTTTTTCTGCAAACTTGTTCCCCGTATACCAGTGCCATTGCCTGGCACGAGTTAATCCTGCAGCACGCAGGATCTTGTTTATTTTAAATTTGCAAGATTTTGTGAATTTCAAAAGCTTTTTTAAGATAATAAAAGCGAAAGAATTGCTAAAAGAAGGGAGTAAAGGCGCTGACGTTAACGAAAGTAGGTTTGTTTTAAATATTGATGTGTTGTATAACGGCTTTAAAAGCTGATCGTTGCGTATATTTTAAATGAAAAAGACAGCATATAATTTCAGTGTTTCTTTATTGATTAACCAGTTTTTTTATTATATTAAAATGTTTGAATAAGGTATAAATATAAGTATAGTATAAGTTGTTTGAATGCGAGAATTTGAAATCATTTTATTTCAAACTCAATGTTTTTCGATAAAGGCAGTTTGGTGTTATCAAAACATTTTAAAATGTCTTGTCAAGCGTTTGAGGTTGAATTTTACTTTAAGTTAAATTCAAGCTTATATTACGTATAATAACATACCTAACATATTTATGTTTGGGGAGTTGATAGTTTGTAATTATAAAAGTTATATTTTTAGGGGATTTTTCATTTATGATGTTACCATGACAACTACTTTAAATATACTTCATGATCAATTCGGATATACAATGGTCTTGTCAGCAAGGCGACTAAGGCGAGGGCTTTCTGCATGCATGTATTTTCTAGTATAAATTTGATCAGCCGCGTGTTTCTCGATTTTTTTACTCATTTTTAAAGCTTGCGCCAAATTCAAACATTTGTATTTTACGTAATTTATATTAGGCCTACATGACATTTTTAGGTCTGTTGATCAAAATCTAAGTTAGCCTTTCCTCAATACAATAAAACTGATTTGAGTGTAATAGCTTTAATTTATAGTTTTTACCTTACATGAAATCAAACAGCGCAAGTATTTTTTGGCACAGCCGGTATTTGCTTCATGCAAACTCCCATGAAATAAAAGTGGTGAGTAAGATAAATACGTATGAAAATTTGAACAACTATCCCTTAGCGTTTGTAAAACCTGTAAAGAATGTTCACGAAACAACATTAAATGCATATACCACAAAAAGTCAAGCGAAATGTCGACATGCGCATGTGCCTGAACTTTATTGGCAGCCGCTGTTCGTATGAAATAGAGTTTGCACCCCACTGAAATTGAATAACACGCAGTAAGAATTAAAGTTAATTTTACTCAAAACCTGAAATGGACGTGACGTAGCCTGGGCAAAGTTTTCTTCTGTGATGCATAGACCCCCAAGGGACGAAACGAAGTGACGGCATGTATATTGTAGGCTACCCTTGTTTTTATAGTGAAACGTTTCAACAACAAAGGGGCCATTCACAAAGGATGTCCGGCCAAATGATGGATTTTCAGACCCCCCTCCCCCCTTGTCCGGCATTTCCGAATTAGTGACCCGCCCCCTCTCCCCCGGACATCCACCATGCCTCGCAAAAACTCACGCAACCTTGTATATATCAAGAGTAAAAAACTTTTTTTACTTTTAGAACTTTTTTATAACTGTAAATGTGAACACAAAAACATATAAATTACTAATTAAAACAAAATCTAGTGTTAACCGCATAGTCAAAATGCCAATTTCACAATGGGAAGGACTGCTCAAAATAGAGGGAAAAAGAAATTTGTTTTTGAATTTTTTTTAAATTTCGGACATCCGGATTGCTACCCCCCCCCTCCCTCCTCCCTATGTCCGAGTTTGTCCTGATTTTCCAAACCCCCCTCTCCCCCCTCGGCTCGGACATCCCTTTGTGAATGGCCCCAAATACAAATTTAAGAAAGGTCAATAGATGTTAGTCCTTATAAAACGTTTTAAATTTTTAACGTGTTCGTTATACTTTCCATTTGTTCATCAGAAACGAAAAATATTTCTTCCGACTGTAAATTAATGGGATACGATCTTAT